CTGGCTGAAGCAAGCCACATGGTCACCCCTAATGTTACCATTGGTTAACTAGCACATACCTCAAAAAAAAAAAAAAGAATGTCGAGCTAGCAAGGAAGATTACAAACCTATATCAATCATTTGTGTGTCTTTTCTCCAGACACCTAGGCCAAATATTTGTCTTTAAATTGTGTTATTCAGAGCATTGTATCATGTCTGGTACCCACCTCTTGATATTTATTTTTCTTATTTTAATTCACAGGTTATCAAAATGTTACATAGAGTAATACTGGTGTGTGTCCTGCTCTACTCCAGATTTTAACAAAAATGCTAATTATGAAGCTTACTACTAAAAAGAAAGATTACTACTTACATGCTAGTTTTACTCTTTGTTTTTAATAAATAATCTCTGTCATGGCTGGCGAGATAGCTCAAGGGACTAAGCACCTGCTTTGGCAAGTGCAGGGACTAGGGTTTGACCTCCGGCCCTGTATGCAGTGCTGATCCCATGCCAGGGGTGCGCTGAGGCTCGGAATGAGTAGGGATGTGGTGGCCATGCCCGTAATTCCAGCGCTGGGGAGGCTGAAAACAGGAGGGTCATGAGTCCGAGCTGTGTAGTGAGACCCTGTACCAAATACATAAAATGAAAACAAAAACCAAAAAACTCTGTCACATTATAGAAGTTTCATCCCATTTTGAGAATGTATAAAGTTCCTTGGTTCTTAAACAAATACTTTTGTCCTACATAAATTCTTCATTTGGAATTTTTGTCTTAAGCAAATCATATGAAAATTCTCCTTTAATATACTTTGTAGTGAATTACATTAATATATTTAAGTCTATTTAGCAATCTGGAACAAGCCCCACTTGGTGAGGAGACACACTGTTCTTATATAGTCTTGGATTCAGTTTTCTTGTGTCATATTTAGGGTTCTTGTTTTTTAGCATTTATGTACATGAGTACAATTGTCCTATTTTTTCTTGCCTTCTCCTAAATATGTATAATATATGACATATAATTAGTATGTAAAGATTATCATAGTCTCATATGCTAAGAAATAGTCTCTCTGATGATCAGAGGTAGCAGTGTTTTTTTGAAAACTATGGTTATCTTTTTCCAGAATATATGCTCCAACTCTCCCATCGCTGTCCCTATGGAATGAAATTTAAATTTAACTATAGACTATTTAATAATGAGAGCTATTCATATATAGACTTTCTTCCTCCCACCCTCCTCTCCTCCCTCCCCCTCCTCTTTCCCTTCCCTCCCCTCCCCTCCCTTCTTCCTTCCTTCATTCCTTCCTGTCTTCTTCTTCTTCTTCTTCTTCTTCTTCTTCTTCTTCTTCTTCTTCTTCTTCTTCTTCTTCTTCTTGCTTCTGCTTCTTCTTTCTTCTTTCTTCTTTTCTTTTTTCTTTCTTTCTTTCATTCTTTCTTTTCTTTTTCTTTCTTTCCTCATTTTGTTTTGATATACGGTCTTTCTACAGCTGGCAGTAAACTCTATATAGCCCAGGCTGGCCTTGAACTCATAGTGATCCTCCTGCCCTAAGCCTTCTGGAAAAATAGGATTACAGGCCTGTGCTACCCACCACACCTGGCTAGTACTTTTTTTCATTTTTTTCTTATCCAGGTATAATTGATGTGAAGGGCACCATCCTAAGTGTGCAATTTCTTGAGCATCCAACTGTGTCTCCTGGTGCAGTCATCACCCACATGAGGGTACAGGAGAGTCCCAGGGCTCCAGAAGGTTCCGAGGACCCATCGTGTTTGAGCCTTCGCTGTTCTGACATCTGTCAGTGGAGGTTCCCTTACTTTGGGTTTGAGCTCCCTGTGATAGCTTGGAGCGTGCTTTTGGCTGCCCTCTCTGTGACGTCATCTCTGTGACTGTTTCCTGCAGTTGCTCATTTTTCTTTCATCAAGTTATAGCATGCCTCTGTGCGAAGGGGCTACCATTTGTTTATGCACTCTACCATGGGCGGGTGTTTGGATTGTCTCCAGTGCTTTCTTCTCGAATCAGTTTTGTTCTGAAATGATTTTAGGAATTGGTCCAGTTCATCTCAGAATTTAAGTTAATTGTCATTAAATTATCTACAATTCCTCTCTTTGCAACCTACTATATCTGTACTTTTTGTACCAATTTCTGTACATAACATTATTTATTATATGACTACTGGATGTTTTTTCTTGACCAGGTATAACAGCGGTTAGTTCCTTTCATCAGTAAATCTGTGATTTTCCCAAAACCAAAGGAGGAGAAGGAGGAGGATGTGCTTAGATTTTGTCCAAGAATAGGACCCTGAACCTCTGGCACTTGGAAACTCAAGCTGTTCTGTCTTGCTGTAGTAAGCTTTTCCAGAATAAAGAGAGGAAATTGCTTATCTTTGTCTAACTGAGGTACAGTTTACTTTATTTATTCAAAATGAATACCCATTCAGTGTGCTGTAGTGTCCATCCATTGAGAAGACCATCTGAGCAGCTCTGTAGAATGCTCACAGATTCTTTCTGGTCCCGTTTCATGTATCCTTCTGCTCTGTGAGTTCACTGATCCTTGTCTCTTTTGCAGCCTGGGAATCTGGGCTGGGCCTCATACCCGGGTGTGGCCAGTGAAGCCCGAACAGCAGGACACAAGCAGGAGCACAGCAGGTAGGCAAGAACACACTGTAGCCTCCATCCCACCTGCACGAGTTTTTTTGCACTATGAGGAGGAACCTAGGTCACCTCCCACCACTGTCATTCCTCCATCATCAAACCTTCTACCACCGAGTGAGGCCACATCAGACTACCCAGCTGCCCCAGCCCACAAGGGCTTCCGGTGGATCCACCAAAACGCAAGTGGAAAAGATCAGGACAAGGCCGCGCAGCTGAGCTGAACTCCCTACGTACAGCGCTTTCATGTCTTCCTTTCTCCTCCTGTTCTGGACTCACTTCTCAGGCACATGCACTCAAGTGTGTGTCAGGCAAATGGAGCTGACTGTGGAGGCGGAGGGACTTCTGCAGGTGACAGGCAGAGTCTTACTGGGAGTTGGTTGTGTGAGACTGTCCACAGGAATCCTGACTTCCCACAGCTGAAGGCAGGGGCTGGGTGTGGTGCAAGAAGGCCTATCCTGAAATAGTGTCCAAAATGATACCAGGAAGCACCAAAATTAAAAAGGAACGCAAGTCCTTGGATTCCCATGGCATAAAGAGAAGCCAGCCACTGAAGCAACTGCTTGCAAATGGAGGCAGATTACACTTTTATAGCAAGATAGAATAATGCACTTGTTCTGGTCAACATGTTCCATCTGTCGATTTTTAAACATCCTTTCTTAAATTCCTAGAAGTCTTTATGTATTAGTTTCTTTTCCACTAATTGCTTTTTGTGTTGCTTGGGAATTGAACCCAGGAACATATACGTGCTGCACAAGTGCTGTTCAAGTGATAGCCCAAGCCCCTCAACTTGTTTATAGGGTTTTTGTAAAGAAATATTTTTTATTAGTACATGTTTATAGTACATGTCTATATTCTTTGTATTTAACTTTTTAAAATGACCTTGTCACAGAGTAATAATCAATAAGGGATCAGGACGCCTGGCAAAGGATGACAAAATCTAGAACGAGAATATTCTCATAAGAGAAATGTTAAGGGGGACATTCATGTCTGTCCCCGACTGCCTTACTCACAAGAATCAGCACAGGAGCAGCTCTCCTATATCTAAACATTTCTAGAAACATGACCATTTGTAGAAAGTGAACACATAACTGACTCAATATTTTCTGGACAAATGTTTCAATTTTAAGACCAAAGGAGGGTAGAAATACCAGTTGCATTAGAATATTTCCACATAGGGCCAGACAGCCTGGGGGAGAGAAACAAGAACTTTGAATACTGTAAGGATACTTGGAATTCTCATGTTTATACTTTTCTGCTGGATGGTTAAGACCAAGATAAAGCAAGACCTATACAATGAGAAATGTAACTTTTGTATCTGATAAGGTCAGTCAAATCCCTTCAGGATTTACCCTGAAACCCTGTACCACAGTTTGTAGATCCTTTGTCAGTGTCAGCCATGTGGATGAGTCACAGCCATTGCTGGCCAATGTGCTCTCTGTGAAAGCCTGAGAGAATGTTTTCTCTCCATGTGACTCTCCTTAGGCACACTCTACATCATCGATCACTTTCCACTTTGGCCCCATAATCTCCTTGAACAGAAAATTTGGGCCAACACTGAGTTACAGGATGTTACAGTATAAAACATAAAGTCACATTAATATGCTGAGCTGTAAAGGGCTTAAGTCAACAACTTCTGACATTGTCAGTCCTACAGATAACCCACCACTATTATGGACTACTGGACTATATTGAATTACTTTGCTGAATTCAAGCACCTACAATATTTGAATGGCAATGGAATACCCATCTCTGACAAAACTAAACAGAAAAGGGGGATACAAATGAAGGACTATTTTGTCATGAAAAAGATTATATATCTGTATATACAAATTAGGTCAAATATACATTACTTTCTCTTAGTTCAATGAGAAGATTTGTACTAATAGTGTTTAGACAAGATATCATGTCTGCGTCTTGTACTATGAAGACAAAAATATGCAATGTATTAATTATTGTAACTATCCTACTGTCCTGTTTTGAAACTATCTTATTACTATTCCTTAATAAAATTATTATATTTTAAAAAAAAAAGAGTACCTGGAGTCAACAGCAAACCTGCAGTCATACAAACCCATATCCCTTTTTGCAATTAATCAGCAATCCTTTTGCTTCTGTAGTTTAATTAAATTACCTAATTTGCACATCTAGCATTTATAGATAATATCAGATGTTCCCACGATCTAGAAAAGCACATGTAGTTAGGAGAGGGTGTCACAGGGGGAAAGGCAGACCATTTTAATGAAGGAATTGAAGGGCTGAGGTGCGGGAGAGATACGGCAGGGAAGTGTGTGTTCTGCAGCTTTAAAATTATACATGCAGGGCCCCTGTGGCCCCTCCCACTGCTCCAGGTAGACCCTGGGAACCTGGGGGGGAGGGGGGGACTCAGTTGCAGGCAGCCACCCAGCTGACAGCACCTTGCAGGTAAGCAAGTGTCCGCAGGTAAGCAAGTGTCTGTGGGGCAGGACTTTCCGGACACTAGTCCTGCAGCGTTTCCAGTTTGGTGGTCCGTTTGCCAAGTGTCTGGGGGCTCGGGCGCTGCTGTCGGGCACAGAGGGGCAGGGCCCTTCTGCAGAGCCATGTGCCACTCAGAGGGGACAGTTTGAGATGCAACACAGGGACGCTCTCAGCCTGTTCCCCAGTACAGTCACTTCCTCAGTATTAGGAATCCACATCAAGCCTGCAACTATGCAGTCCTGTGAGGAAACACTAACGCAAACATCTGCGAGCTATTAAGGCCTGGGATGCACAGGTGGTGTTGGGTGTCTAAGCAGCTTTATCGCAGGCTTAAACTTGCTGGCCAGGCTGGCTGAGGGGGGAGGGGGCTCTCCTGCGTTTTTGCAAGGTAGCTCTGGATTGCAGCATCCAGGCTGCACTTAAAGAAAATGTGAGTGACTCTTTACCTTGTTCGGTGGAGTGTGTAGGATAATGTCCAGGGGCGTAGGAACAACACCATTGCTATGTGGTGAAATATGTGATTAATAATTACATGCAAAGAGAGAAAGAAACTGGCAGCCCCATGGACTTTTGAAGCACTTGATTTGCCCAATAAAATCAAGATAGTCATCAAATAAATGGTTGTTTTGCTCTAATCACTAAACTTCAAAATATTTTGATAAATTCAGTGTGTTTCTCATGCTGAGTGTTACAGCTTCCTTTCCTTTAACTTGCTGCGTTTTTGATCCCCAGGCACCGACTCAGGCTCCTGTGTTTGCCATGGCCTGGAACGTCCTGGCTGCTGCCTTGGTGTGAAAACGCGCGAGCGGGTCTCGCCCGAGGTGCTTGAAGGAGCTCGCTCCCAAGCAGGGCTAGCGAGCAGCAAGCGCCTGATTACTTATTTAGAAAGGCTTTCTCAGGAGGAGAAGGCTTTTTTGTAAACATGGATTGCCTAGCTCTTCCACTGGGCTTCAGCTTCCTGTTTCAGGTCACTGAAACCTTGATCTTTGCCTCTGTTGCTGCGGCCTCCCTGGCGGCCCCCCGAGGCCTCTTCCCCAGGCTGGAGAACCTGGGTGCTTTCAAGAGTGTTTCCACTGTGCCGACCCAAGCCGCGTGTGGCCACCCAGACCCAAGCACGTTTTGCGACAGCTCTGCGGCCCCTGGAAGCTTGAGGCTCTGTGCACCGCGCCTGTGCCTCCAGGCCTGTCCCTACCGCTCCGCCTCGCCTCCCTATGCGGCCCTGATCCACAGTGGCTGCAGCACAGAGGACAAGACTGATCTGCATCCTCGCTCTGCCAGCAACTCCACAAGTTTCCTTTTCGCAAAACACAGGAACTGCTGCCCTTCTCTTCCTTCTCCGAGGCTAGCGGAAGCGTTGACCTTAGCCGTGTGGTTGAAACTTGAGCAAGAAGGTGAAATGTAAGTAGGAGTCTGCCGTCCAGTTTTTCCTAACACCCTGTAAAATAAAGAGTAGTGGAAATCGTTGGAAGCAGACTGCAAACTGGAAAGGAAGGCCTAGACATGGGAACTAACGCCACTGAAGCAGCTCCCGGGTTAGTCTTTCCTGCTCCATGCTTATAATCTGAGTAGTTTTTATCCCAAGATGTTTGCTCTTTTCTATGAATGAAATAGAGCATGAACAAAGAATGTGTTAAAATAGTTTCATTGCGGGCTGACCCGTTCACACCGGAGTCAACCTCCACCTGGGCCCCAGTTATATGAATTATAGACATTTTCAAACTCTTGTTCTAGGTTTATTGTATCCCTATTAGGGAATACAATTTTTTAATTGGTAGATGACTTTTGAAGACTTAAAACTGTGTTCTATACATCCCTTTTCCCAAAAAAGAGCTGTTTCTTTGACTCTTGGAAGATGTTCAGTAAAAGGAGTTAGAAATACAAATGGCATGCCACCTCTGAAAGGATACAGATTTTGGCTTTTACTTGGTTGTGTCTTCATCTCCTGATTACTTAGGAAATACACAGATGAGCTAGGAAATTCTCAGAAGCTTTCATACACTTGCTTCCAGCAGAAATGTCTTCAAAATAAGTTTAGGGTGAGGCATCCTCATCATGATTATTATAGTTTAAGCACCTATTTTTTTTTATTCCCACAGTCTTTTCTCAAATGTATCTGATGTATTTCCCCTAAGTAACATACAGCGGTGTAGAAATTTTAATAAACAACAAACAAGGGTAGTTTTGAGGCTTTTAAAGAATTTTTGTTTTAATTGTCCCCCAGGATTTGTGGCCCTTTTCCAGTGATATTTCATGTATGAAAATGTTGGCCAAGCAGCAAACAACGTGGGGAACAAACCAACGAAGCCTTTACGGTCACAGAAGCAAATCGGACCGAACTAGCCTCAGTGCTTAGTTTCAATTTTCAAATGAAAGTTCACGTCTTTTGATTTTGTTTTCAATTTAGAAAATAATCACAATCCATTGTCTTTATTTTCACAGCCCCACTAAACGACTCTCTTGCTTTCTTCCTGTTGGAAATTTCAGTAAATTCACGCTACTCTGTTCATGAAACCAGCTTCCAAAGAGTCCTCAAACATTGTCTCTTGACAAATAAGGGCTAGAATAAAATATTTTCCCTGAACTTACAGGAACATCTTTGGACCGAATTAATCTTCTGTCGGCATTGTTTTGTGTAAACAATGACAGAGGAGTATTTATAGAGGTGGTAGCCCACAGTTTATGGTTTTGAGAGTTGCTTGCTTGTACCAAGGTCATTTTCATTCTCAGAACTAAAATACCTATGGGAATTAGGGGAATTTCAGGGCGCTTGCACTAGATAAGTAAAACAAACAAAACGTGGATTATCCAATTATTGTTTATTCAGGAGCAGAATAAATCCAGTTCCTAAATATTTTGCTACCTGCCTTCCTCTCCCATTTATTATCTACCAAAGCTAGTATGTTTACAAGCAAACAAAATAGCCAGGAAGATAATCAATAACATATTAAGAAATGTGTTTCCAGTAAGCTTGGGGAAGTAAGTCTGCATTTGGTAAATACGGTCTTGAGTAATGATCGAATTCTCACTAGGAGATTTAAACTCAAGAAAAATGAACAGAGGCAAACTCTCCTTAGATTGTTTAAGACCTGGAGGCAGAGGATAAAGCAAAACTCTTTCATTCCACTAAATTAGAAATACCCAAATCTGATGTGTTAAAAAAGAATCGGCAGCAGGATTTATATAAAACCTTCATGTTCACTAAAATTATTTGCCTAAATTAAAAATATACTTCTTCCCATATCTTTATTATTAAACCCATGTGCAAAATATGCTAAGTTAGCTCAGTAAAAAAGTGGCTGCCAGTGCCATCCAGTCTTACTGTGGCTTCCCAACGAAGGAAAAATAGATTCAAGGGAGAAGAAGTGATCCATAAAACATGAACCCTTCCAGGGAAGCTTTAAACATCTCTTTAGCAGTGTTTCTTGTTTGGCCCAAGTTTACTTTTACCTTCTTTGCTGTGTCACTTAATGTGACCACTTTTGGTTACCTATCTACCCAGGCTTGAAGAGGTATAGAAGTATGCCACTGTTAGTGACACAAGTGGCTTCTGAAACATATTTTGGTAATTGATTGAACACAAAACCTAAACATTTTCTGAAACAAAAAAAATCTAGTCTTTCAAAATGTCACATTCTTCCAAAATGGGATTACCTTGCTTTCAGAAGTATGACCGTTCTATCGGGGCTTCAGTGGGGCTCTGTGGTCGGGGAGAGGTGCCAGTCATCTGCTGGCCGGTGTAGGGTAAGTAGAGACTGCAGCTGTCTGTTCTCCATTTCATCATGGGAATTAAATCGAGCAATTCTGACTTCAGGGCTAACAATTTAGTGCCTTCCATGGACACTAAATTCTCTTTACATTAGAAAAAGAACGACTTGCACCGATGACTCAATGCCCCAGTGGGATGTGGAGTGTCGCACCACTTCCTATGAAAGAAATGGCACAGAAAGCCATGAGCCATCAGGCTAAATGTTAGTTTTGTGGAATGATTCAACCACGTAGTTCCATCATGAAACTCTAATGAAGGGTGTTGAGGCTCTGGGGGATATACTGTAAATAAAAAAAAAATCCCTATCTTTTATTGAAATAGAATGTCTCCTTCGTTGGAAGAAAGCTTGCTTTGGGTGTAGCGTCCCCCAGGCACTCACTCGTAGCGCACTGTTTTGAGCGGAGTTTGGGGATTGCGTTAGCACCATTGTGATTGTGGGGTGCCTCTGCCTGTGTGCCTGCTCGGAAGCTGACCTCTCTCTCCCCTGCTTCCTCCTTAGGTGTGTCATAGAAAAGACGGTGGATGGGCAGACTGTGTTCAAACTTACAATGTCTGAGAAAGAGACTACGTTTTATTATCGTACGGTAAATGGTTTGCAGCCTCCGATAAAAGCAATGACACTGGGGAGAATTCTTGTGAAGAAATGGCTTCATCTTAGTGTGCAGGTGAGTGAAATAAAAAATATTTAACATTTGGTTAAACACAAGAACCTGTCTTCCTTTCTCTCCTTTAAATGGCATCTAGCCACAGAATCTGAAGCTGTGTCCCATCGATTTCAGGAATGTGTAAAAGACAACTAAGAAAAATATTTCAGTGACCTAATCATATATCCCCTGATACAGGAGCAGTTACCACCCTCCAAAATTGCTGCAAAACCTCCCTGAGAAGCTTACAAATGATGCTGTTTGTAGAAATAACATTCATTTATTTTATTGTATTTGTTTGGCATATTTGATTTTGTTTAAAATGTGCAAAGCCTCTTTTGGGGTCGAGTGATAATTCTTCTGGTCCCGGCAGTCTGGAAAGCGCTGCCTGAGTCTTTACAGCTGTCTTTCTCCGATAGCATCTGACGATGTGAATAAAATTTGGCTGCCGCATTAAGTGGTGACCTCAGAACTAATGAACTTTACACTTGAGCACTCAGAAGGTGTTATGTTATTATTTCAGTTGTCAGCCACAGCTCGCACGAGCCGCCGAAGCTGTGAAAGGCGGCGATAGCTGTGAGATGTCTGGTATTTGCAGATCCTAAAGCATAGGCGCCGTTTACCCTTGTGTTTCCGCAGGGTGCTGCAGCCGGTTGGTACCACCCAAGGCTGCGCTCTGCTCTCCAGCCATAGCTCCCAGTCTGTGCTTGCCCGGGAGCACCCCCCAGTGCCACAACCCCAGCAACCCCACTCGCATTAGAAGACGCTTGCACCCTAATCTGCATCTGTGCATTTTATGACAATTGCCTTCTGATACATATATATATATATATATATATATATAGCCGGCAGTGAAGGGAGGATCTTGTTTGGCTTTCAGGTAACACCTTCACAGAGATAAAATTCTTGATGACTGAGATACATCTTGTACACAGCCTTACTGTGCCTGGTTAGAACTTTGACATTCCACTATGGATTGGCAGGGGAGCACATCAAAGGTTTTTGGAAGAAAATGTAAAATAAAAATGCAGAAAGCAAATCAAGATTGGGTTTCAGAAAGCGCTGGCAAAGTACAGCTCAGTCAGCATGCCCTATTTATGGAGAACTTTCATGTAGCGTATGGGTTTAGTGAGTGTGGTCAAGTGGCATTCCCAGGCCAGTGGCTGGAAAGCACACACAAAGTATGGGTTGGGTCTGCCACCAGGCCCTGGCTGTGCCGCGCGACCCTTTCAGTGTGTTGGTGCCAACTCCCTGTGGTGCTGCCACCTGCAGGAAAGGGACCCATTTACCCTGTAATGGCAAATTCTGCCCAGCAAAAGCATTGTTCAGAATTAGGGACAACTGCTGAGCAAGCGCTCCCTGTAGAAAATGCCAGAAAGGATGAGATGATTGCACAGTTTCTGTATCAGCAATGATTTTTTTGAAAATATTTTTATTTGCTTGATTCTGTGAAATTGTGCTCAGTTTTGGCAGGCAGTAGTAAATTAAAAGCTTCACAAAGAAAATTTAAAATCTAAATGCAAAGAAATACTGTTGCTGAATTACTCTCCTGGGAGTAAAATGCTCTTAGAGTGCCTGTTGAAATCAGCATTGTCATTTCAGTAAGTGTCAAATGTGAGTCATTGCCTAGTTTAGGCAAAATTCTTCATAAATCTTTAAATCTTCCCTTTAGAAAATGATACAGTACTTCCGACTTAATGACACTGATTTATTTCATAAGAGTTTACTCCCCAGAGAAAACTTATCCTTTGCAATTTGTCCTTTTTTAAATTTTAATTTGTGCATAAATTTTAAAATAGTCTCTACTATCTATATGTTAAAGCTATGGACCTAAGCAATCATAAAACATTGAAAAAGCCATTTAGGTCAGTCATTTACAAGAGGTGATCAAAAATACAGCAGATACATACAAACATTCATTAGCATAAGCATATTAGCAGTACTCAAACTATGCAAAATCCTCCCCTCTTCTTCAAACACATTTTTCCCATCACTCTTGCCATTTTCTGAAGCAATTTTTGAAGTCATCTTTCACAAGTCTCTTCATGAGGTGTGATCAAAAATGTGGTGAATGGCATTGCTGAGAGCCAGTCAATTAACACAAAAGGCAGGTGTATAAGAACATGGTGGCGTGTCCTCATCTGTTTCCCCAATCTGGCACAGTGACATGTTTGGCTCTTCTGCAATGTCAAAGTGTCCATCAAATGTAAATGTTTAAATGGATTCAGGACACAGAGGCAGCTGCACAAAGGCACTCATGAAAGAAGACTACCATAGAGGCTTCAGAAAGAGGCAGGAATGACGAAATAGGTGTGTTTGCAATGAGGAGGAGTTTCTCTTTCTTTTCTTTTCTTTTCCCTTTCTTTCTTTCTTTCTTTCTTTCTTTCTTTCTTTCTTTCTTTCTTTCTTTCTTTCTTTTTTGTGGTACCAGGGATCAGGAGGAGTTTCTTTCTTTTTAAAAATTTTTTCATTCATTTTAATGAGAAAAAAAAGATAAAATAGCAATGGAACAGTTTCAAAACAGGTGAGTAGGACAGTTACAATAATTAATACATTCCATATTGTTGTCTTTGCAAATTGTTCAAGCAATGGCTATGACTCATCCACATGCCTGACACTAGGGGCCTGGCCATAGCCCAGTTCTTTAAGGGGCTGCTTCGGCAAAGCTTTCAGCCTCAGGTTGCTGTAGTTCGATCCCCACAACATTCCAGCCAGCCAAACCACCCCTGAGGGCATTTGGAGCAAAAAAAAAAAAAATCCTTATTCCACATGCCTGATACTGACAAAAGATTCACAATGTGCTGTATATGGTTCCAGGGCAAATCCCGAGGTGATTTGACTGACCTTACCAGATAGCAAAAGTTACATTTTTAATTATATAGGTCTTGCTTTCACTTGGTCTTAACCATCTAGCAGAAAAGTGTAGCCATGAGGTATAAAATGTAAAGCTATATTAATATGCTGAGCTGTAAAAAGCTCAAGTCATCAACTTCGGACAATTGCCAGTTGTGCTGGTAACTCACTACTATTATGAACTATTGAACTATATTGGGTTATTTTGCTTAATTCAAATACCTAAAAATATTTGGATTGGCATCAAGTATGAAAAGGTCCCTTAAAGACCCCTCCAAATACAGCTTCTCTAACACCAATGGAACACCTATCTTTTTTGTTTGTTTGTTTTTGTTTTGTGGCACCAGAGATCAAACTTGTGACCTTGTGCTTACCAGGCAGGGATGTAAGCGGCTGAGCTATAGCCCCGGCTAGAAGGAGTTTCCTGAGGGGAATCAACGGCCATGTGTCTTTTACTGTATTAAACAGTCAACTGAAATTTTTAAATTTGAAAAACTGAAAGTTGTTTTCTTAATCATTTGTTCAGGCAAAAATGAAAGAGTACTTACTTCCCACTGGACAAATGCATGGGGCTCCGTGTGTGGGGCCCTGGTCTAAATATATTTGACAGATGAAGTTTGGAAGAACGCACATTGTTGCTATTTAATAAGGAAAGTTCTCTTCATGGAAAAGTTGCCCTGAGAAATAGTGGGAAGCCCAGAGCTTAGGAGTCAGGAAGTCTGACCAGGGAAAGCACCAGCACTCTGCAGCCTTAGGAACTTGCTTGACTTGGTTTCCCCATTTATTTACCGAGAGGATTCCATTCTGTAAATCAAACAAAACCCAGTGATTTCCCCAGGAAAAGTAAGTGGGGTGTGTCAGGAGGCAGGAGGCACGGTTGATGAAGGCAGGAGCGTAGTCACGGCTTAGGGCCCCTCGCGGGTCCTCGGCAGAGCTGCTGAGGATGGCTGTCCCACTCAGGCTCTCCGGCTCCCCTCTGAGCGAGCTCTCTCACTCACACCAAATGTGTTGCAGCAGCGTTAGTGGTCAGGAAGCAGCCCGAAGCAACTCATCCTTCTTTCATTATAGAATCGAAAAGGACGTTTGCAGGGAAAAATGTCATCTAAATGATCAGTTCCTGCTGCACCATGACAGTGTCCAAAGTCTGATTTTGGAGATAAAGCCTTCCTGTCGTGCAAAGGAAAGGACAGAAGTCGTGGTACTTAGTGATGTAGTTTAGCCAGGTTTCTAAGTGCAAGCCCATACTGAATATATGTGCGTATTTTCACACATCCTTGGCCTCCACAAATCAATGAGCTTTTGCAGCATGTGTGTGTGTGTGTGTGTGCGCGCGCATGCGTGCGTGCGTGCACATGTTTAAAAAGAGAACACAGATGTACTCAGGCAGTCACTCAGAAATCTGAATTTAACTAGAAAGACCTGATGACACAAAACTAATCAAGGAATCTAACGTATGCCTTACCTGAAATACCTCATATTCCATAAGCTTTGTATATAAACTTGAAATGCTCATTTCCCAAATCAGACAAGAAGATGTTATTTTTAAACAATAAAATCCATGGGCAGGTAAGCTCTTAGGAAGAGATGGGCATACTGAACATCCGAGATGTGATGTTCTGTCTCTTTTGTTTTTTAGAGATGTAATTTTCTAAGCAATAATTATCTGATATTTTGATGGTGATGGATCTATGAGGATTTAACCCCAAACGAGCATTTTTGAAACTGAAACCTGTTAGAAAAGGATTAATTTTAAAATCAATATTCATTTGGAGACTAGAATCTGACATGATTATCCATTTAAATTTCACCCCAGTGTGTGGGGTTTAACACATTGGCTCATTCAAATTATATCAAGCTGAAATTTGTTATGTTGTATTTTTATACTAAAACTGGAAAAATCAATTCATACATTTTATTGTAAAATGGGGAACACTGATAATACTAACAGATTGTTAAAAGCGTAGTTTTCATACTGGATCAGCATCTACTGTAGTTATTAAAAAATCTCTCTAAAGCTCTGGAATGTGTACTCTTATTTCATTTCATTAAGGATTGGTAGGTGAAACACCTTGGCAGTATATGCGTCGAATTAGGAGCAAAGCCTCAGAGCTTCCTATGGTGCACTGAGCCACTGACAACAGGAGCCCCAGATTCTAGCTAGCGTGCTT